GCCCTCTGGTGACCCCTCTGCCCTCTGGTGACCCCTCTGCCCTCTGGTGACCCCTTCGCCCTCTGGTGACCCCTTCGCCCTCGGTGGACCCCCCTCGGTGGACCACCTGCAGCAGTCACAACACTCAGATTAGCAAATTCAATTAAACACCGTTACCCAAATGTTGACCAGCATAAAGTGCAAAAAAGGCAGTAAAATGTCCAAAAATGCACACTTTGTAAACCATTCGATCTCTAACGTGCACATAGTAAATAAACAGAACGTTGTGAAGATAAAACAGAACATCAGACTTCAGTGAATCCGGCTGATGATCCCACCAGAAACTATAGAAACGCTGATGAGACTAATGGACATCTGACAGGAGATCACGATGGAGAGAAAGAAATAAGAGTGAGTTTACACAGAGACAGCCCTGCATCGATGGGATCAGTCAACATGTCTTCTTAGACAATAAGGTGTCTTTATGTGGCACAGCTCTTCACCAGCGTTTAGATTTCATTTCCTGAAAGTGAAGTGAAATATTTGCAGGTGTATAAATGTTAGATTTGTGTTTTTGAACCACTTACTGTAGAATATTTTGACTGGTTTGTTGTTTAGGCATGAATGGACTCGACTGACTGCGACTTGGTGTGTAGAAGACAGACGAGCTGAAACTAAACATCACCAGTGTGTGTATTTAATTCAGTCAAGCATTACTTTCTGTTCAACACAATTGTTTGCTAGAGTCACTGAAAACAATGTTCAGCCAGTTTTAATCAGATCAACAGTATGCTAAAGAACGAGGAACAGTTAAAGTTGTATCTGTGATGTTCAGCAGCATCAGGCAGCTCCAGCTGCAACTCTCCCAGCAGCCAGCAGGAGATGCTGTCACACAGGTAGTGTCCTCATACCTGGAAGGTGTCAAACCCTGAGTCAGAAACAGCTTTGTGGCAGAGTTTACAGTTAGAAACAAATCGAACAGTAGATCAACTGCTATTACACACATGAAGAACAGGGTTCAGAGTGGAGAGCTGAC